CGGCCCCAGAACAGACGTTTTCAGAAATGGGCAGATAAAAGATATGTTTTTTTGGGTTCTCTAAATTCAAAGGCCTCACTTTCTTTTACAGGAAACACACTTAAAGTGAAGCGTTCAAATAAGAATAGGACTATTATCATGTTAAAGCATTTGTGTATTAAAACTTGCATCGGAGAATGATGGACTCATAGCTTGTGTGGTGGGGCCCCTTTTGTTTGAGAGACACAGGTTATTTTGAAGCAGCCTTAAAGTGCTCTGTGGTCCATGTCCACCTGTTCTGCAATAGCACACTCCAGCGTCCTCCGGTAAAAATAATTGAATGAATGAATACATGTTTCTTAAACTATCTATCCAAACTATATTATTTTAGTTTTTGCAACTTTATTAGTTGAGTGTTTTGAGGTACTTGCATCTTCAAAAAAATTCTCCTCTACTGCTGCTTTGTGAATGCCCGTCACCTCATGTCTTTTTAATGTGTCCAGTCTGTAGTTGGTTGATGGCTGTCTCACAAGGGAGGCAGCAATTGCCTGCCGTTTTGGGGCACAGTGCTTTTGGCATAAATAACAGCGCATGGCTTCCTCGGTATGCCTGAACCAAGTAAATTGATTTAGCCATTACTTGTCAAAATCACTGGCTCGTATGTTTTTAAGACAAAATAGAAAGAGAAATAAAAAATAAATCACGTACACGTTGACTTTGCATTGCTATGCTCCTAATTGGAAATTGATTGATGTAGCCTCGCCAATTCGTCCTGGATTCCGACCCTTTGCTATCATCAGTGTTTCAGACCAAATTTTCACATGAATTATTACATTTTAATTGCCTGTTGTGTTAAATTCTCTGCTCTGTTTCACCTGGACTCATGGTCGCTTTCTTTCTTTCAGTATGTATGACTGGGGGGAAAAAACAATCGCCTTAATTAGTCAAGTCACTTGATTGATCACTAGAAAAATTTGTAAGTAGAAACGTGTTTTCCATGTAAATGCCCTAATTCATTCCAAGTCCCCCCAAAATTCAGACATAAATGTTTCCTAAAGCATGAAAATGCATCAAAATATGGAACAAATACATGTTACAATTTGATTATTGCACAATAAATGAGAGTTGTGCATAATGTAGAAAAATAAAAAGATAGAATAAAGAATAAAATGATCGTCATTTAACTTTTAACTGTGTCTTCATCGTTTTTTGCCCTCTTGAGTCCATGTTCTCGCTCAAAAGTGACTTGATAGCCAATGGCAGAGCAGCTATAATTATGTTGCATTCAGGAAATTCGGAGCTGCGAGTTGCAGGCCATACTGTAATTTTACCTTTCATATCTTGAAATTTATTTCGGAACAAAAGGCAATATTTTCCTGTTGAGACGTTTCATAACTTGAAAATTTCGTATGAAGAGACGTTTGTAAATAGAGGTACCACTGAAATGTACCCAAGAACAATGGTTTTCAGTTTGGTTTAGGTTCTGTTTTTGAATGTGTACTTGATTTTACCTGGCGAATAGCAAACATATCCAGAGTGATATTTTTTTTAGCCGCCTATCTGCCAATCTTTTCCCCCGCCATCATCCATCCTTTAAGTTCATCCAGCAGCCCAGTGACTGAAGTGCGAGGTAAGCAGTCTGTTCTCGAGTGGGCCCATCCTCCTTTTAACAGCCCTCACAGCCTCCGTTTGACACACCCTGACGTCCTTCAAGGTCTTCCTGTCCTCCCCTCCTGAAGTGCAGCTTCTCACTCTTATGTCAGTTTTGACACATTTGCCACTTAGTTCATTTCACTGATTTGGTGCACTTGATTTAACATTGTGACTGTTTTGTATGCCGTATGCTCCAAGTGGCCTTGATAAATACCCTTCCAGTTTATACTCTGTATAAGACGAACTATTCATTTTGGGAAAGATGATGAAATGGGATCTGATTTGTTTTATACGATTATTATTTAATTTTAAGCTGCTAATGCATGTCAAGCTATTATGTTCACATCAACATCATAAAAAAGATTCTCATTTTGCTCCTCCTTTTTTTTATGCACATTCAGGGATTCTTATCATGAGTATTGGGTTTGCTTTATCACTAAAATCTAATCCAGTCATGTAGATCAAAAAGACATAGAGAACAAATATGAAATTGCAATGCATGTTGTCCACTGTCAAATCACCGGCCTCATCTTAAGAACAAAATGCAGATGTATGTAAAAGGTCAAATGAGTGATCCGTGAAGGTGAAAATGGTACTGCTTCTCCAAAATGCTATTTTCTCCACCATTTTACATTGAATATGCTGTATAAAATGAATGCATTTCCAACATCCCATTTCCAACTCTCCTGGTGCCCTGTAGTATCTCAATTCATGGAGCTCTATCACCACCCAGTGTTTTGTTGCTGACTTGCATCTGAGTTACACGTTGCAATCTCAGTAAATATTCATTTATCATGAATTTATCATCTGAGCGGGAGCACTTAACCTCCTACCAGAAATAAATCTGTGGATCATCAAGGTATCAACATGAGAGGTGGAGGAGCTGCAGGTGAAAAAGATGATTTTTACAATAGAATTGATGAGATTCACAGTGCGGGCACGTCTCGACTGCTGATTGGTATTCAAGAACGACAGTCAGCCTTTATTTGGTGTCATGTAATTCCTGGGTAAAGTGGAGACTCACATAGCAGCTGCGGGATTAGGGCAAACACTCCTCAAAAAGAGACTGGCCATGCTATTTGACGATGCCATGATTCGACTCTCTCTGCATGTAATCAGATAAGTTGATTGCTCCATGCCATCCTTTACATTTAGAACAAAAACAATCAGTATATATATATATATATATATTTTTTTTTTTTCCATTAAAAATATTAAATAAATATACTGTACTTTTAAAAGGCTGATTTTTTTCCCCCGTTATATCTGCAACGCTAAAACTCAAATATTACTTTGACACGAAGAAAACTTATAAACTAACAAACACAACACGCTTGGATGCGAAAAAAACAGGCAATATTTATCTGTTGGTACCATTCGGAAAATTATGACGCAGACAGCACATAAGAGTGATGCGAAAAAACAGAATTCGATAAGTTTCTTTTTTGGTAGTTGCTTCAGGTTTTCCCTGTGCACTGCTGTTGATATAGCGCCCCCATAGTGGCGAAACGATGCAACTGCAGATAATATGAAACTGCCGCAGCGGAACATCAATCCCTCAATCAGCACAGCTGTAGCTTTACGCTGCATAGAGTGTTATCAATCGGTCTGGCTGGGGGCGGCAGAGGGAAACCCTGCATCCATCCATTAATGCCCAGCCGACTTTGAGGCTGGCTGGCGGGCGATAGGTAGGTAGGTAGGCAGGCAGATAGATAGACTTACCGGAAAAGTTGTCAAAGGCGGTGGGCACATATTTGGTGGGGTATCCGTTGGTAGTGTAGCTGACCACCAGGCTGGTCTTGCCTACTGCTCCGTCACCGAGCAGGACGCACTTGAGCAGCCGCTCGTGAGGCTGCCCCGGCCGGCCACTTTGGACTTTGTGCGGCGGCACCGGCGGAGCCATGGTCGGAGGATATTCCATGGAGGTAGAATGAGGGCACATTCAACGAAGTCAGTCGGCGGGTTTCCACATGAGGACCGTGGAGTTCCACGTTTAGAATAAAAAGAGAAGAGAGTCGTTTCACTTGAAAAAAACACGTCGTATTTCAAGGGACTTCGGTCATTGTCACGACGAATTGTCGGGAAGCACGAACGCTCACCCAATTCGCATCACAATGGGCTGCTGCTAGCGAACCTTGGCCTTTGTATACTCGGTATATTTGCATAACTCCGCCCACTTCACGTGGCGCTCGTCACGTTTTGAACCTTGCTGAGGCTCATTCATTGTCAACTCCCACAAGGGAATAAGTGAAAGAACTTTTAGTGGGAGTAAAAGTATTGTTTATGACTTTTGACATCAGCTTCTGTGCCAATGAAATATCAAATTGACATGCAGGCCTTGTTGAACATCTCGAATGTCAATTTTAATTAGATTTTTTACAGCGACTCTTTACCCACTGACCCTACTTTAATACTGTAGCTGACACGATATTGAACATTTACACTGGTACATTCGCAGCACTAGTGCATTCTATACTTAAAACTATAACATCACTTTGTACAAGTACCATCTTCTAATACTACTTTGCTGTTCCGAGTACCAGCATATTAACCAATAATAAAGTTGCATAGTAATGTTCATTAAAAACAAGAGAAAGGTTCACAACAAAAAAGTACACTTAATATTATTATTGTAAACCGCTGTAACTTTATGCAGTTTGAACATTAGCACTACACTTATTGAGTGGGTGAGGGGGCTAATGGGCCCTCATCTTAAATAATTCAATTAAAATGTATTGCGCACAAAGGTTAAATACAACTTGTACCTAAAAGTTTTAAAATCAACTTTTTTTTCATAACATCTCTTTCATTTAATCTGTAAATCGTCCCAAATTTAAATACTGTATGTTAATTAAATTCAACTGTCCAGTGGCTTGTGGTGTATTTTATGGATCAAACTCGTGAATACTGTATGTTAATTAAATTCAACTGTCCAGTGGGGCTTGTGGTGTATTTTATGGCTCAAACTCGTAAGGCATGTTGAACCCTGGACTTTTGTCACCCTCTTGTGGCTAAGAATAATAGTAGCACAGCAAGAATTGGATTCTTTCTTCCCCAAAACCAAGTTTGTCAAGAAACCTCGAGTCAACCACGTTGCCACAGTTAAGGAAAAGTAAAAGAAATTGTGACCTCACTCAAATCTAACTCTTTAGTTTTTATAGAGGTCATTGCAATACATTTGAATGTCGTTGAAAGATTAATCAATTTCATCTGTTGAATTGAAAAAGACAAACTCATGTGTTTAACCAATATTCCACAAATTCAAGATTAATCAGAATGTTGTGTTTGGACTAATGGAGGCGCAGAGAAAATATAGTTAAGACAAATTTGAGGGTTGACTTCCCCTTTAAAGGATTTCAAGAGACTGTAAATGTTGGAGATCACCCTGACCAATTTATTTTTCTAAAAGTGATTTTACTTACAAGACAACCATTGTAATGTTACCACAAAGGCATCATACAGGTACAAAAGTTCATCCTTTGTAGGGCAAGATGCAGGTAAACAAGGGATGTGTTTTGTTTGTGTGGAGAAGCAAAAAATAATTACTGACTGAACTTGATCCTGCAGTTAGAAAGGCACCTTCACTTCCTCATCCTTTCCATCAAAGCGATGCCCCACCCAATGGTGAACTTGGCCTACAATTGACAGTCAAACGGCAGTAATGCACAATGTGATGAGCTGATTTTGAGGAAAGGCTGACGGCAGGAGGAAAAACAGGAAATGTTAGGTCTGGAAAAGGACAAAAAGTGACTTTAATTGCTTGTTTGAGTGACTTCCTTACTCACAGGCACACAGGTACGCACATTCACACATGAAACAGTTGTTACAATGCATTTGCATTCACAAAATATCATGCACCCAAACTGTCAATGAGATGCTGCTGCGAATGATGATGTCAGGTCAATATTAAGTTTCCATAAGGGGTGCCAGGAGCCTCATTTGGACGACAGCTTTCAACAGACACTTATGGAAAAAAAAAACCCAAACGAACAAAAACACAGTTTTTTTTCATCCATCCTGATTAAGAATCACCCCTCTAAAAACCCAATAACTTAGACACAGTTCCAATAGTAAACGTCCCATCTTCCTTCCGGAACGCAGCAGCTCAGTCATGTGGAGCTGGGACTGCTTGCTGGGTAAGAAATCGGAGTGACGGCCCGCAGCTCCTAGTGATCCCGTCATCCATCAGTCTTTAGTGGATTTTAGGTTTGGCACCACCCGGGGTCAGGTCAGACGGGACGGCACCGCCGTGGGCCAGTCTTCGGAAGCTGTGCGAGAGATACATGATGGTGGATTTGGAATGTGCAGAAAAAAACGGTCTCGTTTGACCCACCTATTCAGGTATCGAGACATATATCCATCATTACCACAAGGTGGCGCTGTACTCACAAGTCCTTGACATTGCCAATGAGGGCCTGGATCTTTGCAATGAAAGCATCCACTTGCTCCTGAGACACATGAACAAACGTGTTAAGGTCAAATATGCCAATGAAGGTCAGGACAGCGATGGGAAGGGACATAAAAGGGTTTACCTGACGCCGTCGGTAGAAAAGCGGCAAAGAAAAGAGAGCGATCACGCCTGCGCAGAGGTAGAGAAAAAAAGCCACAAAAGAAGTGCATAAGAAAGGGAAAGCGAGAGTTTGGTAATTATTTCCAGAAGTGACGTGATACCGATGATGAGGAGTGTGAGGCCATTGCACAGATCTCCCAGATAAGTAAGAAGATATATCAGGACCAGCAACTACAAAGCAAGGTGAAAAAAACACATCATTGCGCCAAAAAGTTATCCCTTTGAAAGCGGTTTTACTCGCAGAAATATATGCTCCACAGGTGTCTAAGGGGGGGAATTCAACGTTTACTGCCAACAAGAATTATGGGAAAAAATTGTGGCCTTCATTCGTAGAAATAGTTCTGAATAGTAACTTTTTTTGTTATACTGTATTGTTGCATTTTTTTGGTTTTCCTATTCAATACGGCCCTTATACACCTTTTATGGGGAGTTTCTCACTGAGGGGTGTACTCACTTGTGTTGCCGGTGATTTAGACATTTATGGCTGTGTATTTTGAGGGGACTGTTCCAAGTTTCGAGCCACCATATCATCAGTTGAACCATCAAGAAAATGTTACTGCTTGTCTTTTTTTCAGGAATGTGCCCTATCAATAAAAATATATAAGAGGGTCCAGTCTACCACAAAAAGAGTAGTGGCATCAATGGTGTCAGTGTTTCCCAATATGGGACATGGTCTTGGACGGGGGAGGGCCTCCATCTTATCCCGCGCCATCTACATATTCCCTCCTCCTCCAGCTGCTACGTGTCATGTCACATTCCAGCCAGGTCAGGGTTGACATTGGAAGGTCCCCAGGTTAGGGCTCGCTTAGCTCACACTCTGTCAACATGTACTGCTAATGTCCTGCAGCCTTCTCTATGTATAAACGTACGCTGTTAATAGCCCAAGTGGTCAGTATTAAAAAAAAAAAAAAAAAGCAGATGAGTAAAGAGAGATTCACTACTTAGAACTGGAAATACATGCCCGCAAATAAAATTGTTTTCAGGATCCAGGGAAGTGTCCGCTAACAATCACGAGATGGCAGCACACTTATTTATTGTGAGAGGTAAATTCGAAAGAAGAAAAATTAAAACGGAGGACATCTTAGTTTTTCTTGAAAATTATTGAATGTTGACACCCAGCTTTAGGAAAGATTGTTTTGACTCACAAAAGCTTTATACAATTCATTTGGACTTAATATAGTAGCCATATTACGTCACACAAAGCCTTGACGTTATAATCTATATTTTAAAATATTTTTGCTTTAAGTCCTAAAATAGAAACCACCAAGACAAATATACCGGTGCCACATGATTACTGCGAATATGTAGATGTGGCATGACAGTCGCCGGCATTGGCCAAATTTGGCAGCTTGACACCAGGCCTGGAGCGAGCAGAATGACAACGCCACTGCTGTTACAACCAGTGATGTGGAGGGAGTTAGGATGGATGGCATTCAAAGTGAGAGAATGAAAGAGGCACGGTAAAAATGAATGATAGGGAGGGGAGGTCTTGGAAGGACAAGGACATCAAACAGGGACATACGGACAGGCTGGCCATTCGATCGGCCGTCCTTTCTCACCTTCAGGGATTCAAAGAGGTTGCCGACAAAGAAGAGTCTTTTCAGACAGTCCACAGCACACAGAGTCGTGACAATGACTTTCTGCATGTGCAACTCAGTCTCCTCTCCGCTAAAACTGATGTCCATGTCCAAGTATGACCTGTCACACGCATTCAAAAGATAACAGATATTACAAACTGACATCTTTCCCCAAAACAGTTGGGTCAAAAATAACCCCAATTATGGGTCAAAAAGGGACCAACCCCACTTGGGTCAATTTGAGCCAACTTTTTGGGTTATTCATTGAACATAAAAAGTTGGGTCAAATTGACCCAAGTGGGTTCAGTCCCTTCAACCCGACTATTCTTCAGAGTACATTTTCTATTTAAACATTTGCACAGACTAAAAATGCCACGAATCGCTGTTCAATAACTTTTTTAAGTTTTACGATGGCATAAATTTGAGTGTGAGTAAATTGATTCTGTTTACATTATTTCCTTTGGTTGGGAATTTTACAGAACACAAAATGTTTAAAAAATACATTGGTGCCTCAACCTATAAGTCTAATTTCTTCTGTGACCACGTTCGCGACTGAAAACATCTTTCCCCATTGAAATGAATGGAAATGCCATCAATTTGCTCTCCCCCCACAAAACACAAACAAAAAAATGACATTTTTCGATACGAAAAACAGCACAGTATAGATTTGTACTTTATATTAACATACGGTAATAATTCCAACGTAATGGATTAAAGAGTTTGCGCATCGATATTTCATGCTTCAATCACCATTGACGTTGTGCACCGTTTATGTTCAAAAAGCTCTTGCTTAAAGGGTTACAACCAGAGGTGAGAGTAAGTCACATATCTGCAAGTCACAAGTTGCAACCTTTGTCACTTAGATACCAAGTCAGAAGTCAAGTCAAGTCATTCCCAAGTTTTTGGCAAGCAAGTCCTAAAAATAACAACTCGACCAAACACATTTTTCGCATACGGTATTTATCGCCCATCCCAATGAGTAACACATCATTGAAAGAAAAGCACGTACTTGAACGGATGTTCTCCATCACCCCAGTTGAGGGCATGGAGGATTTTGTAGTAGATGCGCACTGACATGGTGACGCACACGATGGCGAGAGACACCGTGGAGACCACAGTGATGATGCTGAGCTGGAACAGGCATAGGAGACCCACCACGATGCCCGTCAGGACCATTCCCGTTCGCTCCATGTCCTTCCAGTAGATCAGGTCCATGACTGGAAGATACGGTGGACAGAGGAGTCAGAATAGAAACTAGAGAAAACAATGCCTGTTCATGCTGTGAAAATTAATAGGGAGGTAGTAAAGTTTTGCATGTGGCGAGTCAGGCTGTAACGTCACAATACAATTATCACGAATCTCATGATACGATAATTATCAACAATATTTTGGGGAGGTTGGCAGAATAAAAAAAGCTCACGATACTGTATAAACACTCACATAATTGTAAAAAAAATGTTTGAATATTCAAAAAAATGCCATGGGTAGCCCAGTGGGCCAGTGGTTAGCGCGTCGACCTCACGGTGCAGAGTTCAATTCCTTTGTGCAGTTCAATTCCAGCTCCAGCCTCCCTGTGTGGAGTTTGCGTGTTCTCCCCGGGACTACGTGGGTTTTCTCCGGGTACTCTGATTTCCTTCCACATTCCCAAAACATGCATGGCAGGCTGATTGAACACTCTAAATTGTCCCTAGGTGTGAGTGTGGATGGTTGTTCGTCTGTGTGTGCCCTGCGATTGGCTGGCGACCAGTTCCGAGTGCCCCCCGCCTACTGCCCGGAGAACAGCTGGGATAGGCTCCAGCACCCCCCCCCCTTGTGAGGATAAACAGATCAGAAAATGAATGAATGAATGAATGAGTGAAAAAAAATGCCAGCAGTACGCAGCCACCCTCTAGTGGTACATGAAAGAATTGTACTTAAGTTACAATGGCATTTAATCTGTTAGAATTTGTTCCTTTTAAACATTAAGGTAAAAGGTAAAGATAAAAAAAGTCTTAGTATTTATATACTGAACTATTTACCTACACTTCCTAGAAATAAAACATCTGTGTCAATTCTTTTAAACATTAAGGTAAAAGGTAAAGATAAAAAAACGTCTTAGTATTTATATACTGAACTATTTACCTGCACTTCCTAGAAATAAAACATCTGTGTCAATTCTGATGAGGCCTAAGAGACTATTGCATTTTAATGTTGGTCCTGATGACGCTATGAGGAGATCTTACGTTTTTGTAGGTGGTATTTGGTGTAAAAACTTTGATAACCACTGCGGTATCGGAAGTACTTTAAATTTTGAGCATGGCAAAAGATCAATGCGTTCCAAGATGCCGAGGAGGGGCATGGAGGCTAGAGTAAAAGTAGGTGGGGGGGTGACCCAAGGAAGAAGAGTGCGTTCCAGCCGCCAACATGAGACGCCAGAGCGGCGAATAGGACACATACGGATTCAGCTTGGGCTAAATTTACCCCTCAGATGACAGAGGAAAGCAAGCGGTTGAGGGGAATTTGAATGGGGCCTTTCGCGGCACCTGCTGCGAGGCGTCAGCACCATTTTCTACAACCGCTTGGTTTCCCCTCGCTTCGTCACCCAGCAACAGCTGAGACTGAACCGGGTGGGGTCATAGAATTATGAAATACACTATGTAATTCTGTCACCTCGTTTTTTTCTTCCCAATATCTTTATTCAACCCTCACCATCCACATCATTTCACAAGGATCACGAGGATCGTGGATGCTTTTATTCAAATTTTTTGGGATGAAATTTTAAAAGAGACTTGATCAAGGGATAATATTCAAATAAAGAACAAGAGCCAGCAAAGTAGTGATTTTTGGAGGATTCCGCCCGACAGCGACGACATATAAATGTCTATAGAATGCTTGTGCTTATCAGTCAATCCGGAAACTGACACTTCACACTGGAACAAATACACACTTCCTGGTATTAGGCTATCAGCAGTGAAAGAAAAAAAAAAAAAGCACACTCTGCATAGGATTTGTGTGTGTGTGTGTGTGTGTGTGTATGTGCTGTGTCTGCATTCAATTTGCAGGAAGTGACAACCATTGGGAACAAAATAAAAAACACTGATGGCATTGAACAATTTTACAATACAGTAACGTTTAAAAGTGTCCAGTGAAGGCTCGAGTAAACCTCTGGTTCCACTCTCCACTCTCACTGTGATTCAAGATGTTGTCATGACTACCTGGCAACGAGGATACATGACTGGTAAAGTGTGCCAATGAATTACATCATCAAGTTTTAAAAGGGCATAGAGAACCACAATGTTACTTGGAAACAATAAATTACATAAAAGCCAAAAAACAAAGTGCCTGTGCTTTACACGTAATGGAAATGATGAAATTGAAAGCTGCAGTCTGTTTATCTTCAATTGCTTCAAGACAAGACACTTCAGGAAAAACTACCACCTACTTCAAGTTCAGTCGTGCCAAATTTTCCTGGTCGTGTTGACATTTTAAAAATCAATCACAATACTCACAAGTGGTGTGTGAGTACCTTGTCCATCAATTCATTTTCTACATTGCTTATCATTTTTCAGGATCATGCAGAGCTGGAGCCTTTCCCAGCTGACCCCAGCGAAGAGCAAGGCAGCTTTATTTAGATGCTGCAGCACATTTTATACACAAGGAAACACAATGTGTTTCACATAATTAAAATTACAACATTTGCAAACAAAAGAGAGTTGAGTGGGAAAACCCGTGTTGCCTGCGCAGAAGTTAGGGGAATGCACCGCAACAGACATCGGTGACTGTGTATGCCGCTAATTATGACAAAGCATAAACACATATAAGGCTGTGATCAGCTACACTCATCAATCACCAAGTTACACATTTAGAAACCTCTCTGAGCGGCAACAATGAGCAAAATAAACTGACCAAACCAATGCCATGCTGCAGATAATAAATACCACAACATAATGGTGCATGATCACAGAATTCTTGGCACATTCATTTCCCCAACTGGATAGCCACTCAATCAAACTATACAATGAGAAGCAGTTCACCATACTAAAAGAAGCTGGGGACCGGTCCTACTTCCGCAATAACCACATGGCTAGAAAACATCAGCACATTGTCAAGATACAATTAGTTGACAACTCCTTCCACTTTTTTTCCCCAATTTTCATCCAAGTTCTCTCACCTTTGCTGGCCATTTTGGCTGCTGTTTCGCCTCGCTACACTCTCTGTCCCGCCGTGCTCCCCTCGACCCCCCTGAGCTGTTTTTGGCCGGGCCCTGCTCGCTCAGCAGCCCAAAATAATCTTTCCTGCTGCACCGCCCACCCCCACTACTGCAATGATTATTTTATTTTATTTTTTAACTCAGAAAGACTTCAGTCATGACCAGTACTACAAATTGTTTGTACAAACGCAGAGCTGCGACTTCAAATCTAGACTACATTAAAAAATATTTCAAGTCGGTCATAAAGCATAGAGCCATTTGGCAGCTGCAACAAGAGAAACAGGTCTAATTTTTGCAATGCCGCACTGGGTGATTAGCTAACCAATGCTAACTAATTTCTTGAGTGAATCACAACAAAAAACAAACAATAAAAAAGTAAAACCACAGTTAGCCACATAACAAAAGAAACAAGCAAAAGGAAATAAGCAAAGTTGGGAGTTTTAGTGAGATAAGATGATTAGTTTCGAGAAGCTAAAGAGAAGGTGAAACAAAAAGGATTAAGGATTACCAGTACAATGCTATACCTACCACAGGTTTGAAGCACAACATTTCGTAACATCCCTTTGGGTCATGGTTGTAAAGAGTGGAAAGAGTCTTTCGACAAATGAAAAATGAGAAGAGGGTAGAGTTTGTTGATGTAGCGCTTATGGTAAAGCTATCGCTAGCTCTTGGCTTAAAACCAAGGCAACAAAGACACGTTTAAGAAAATGATGGCACTTAATGACCCACAAACATTTGAAAAGCAAAATGCAAAACGTTTGAGTGTGATTAGCCTGTTACAAAACTGAAGCTAACCGAAGAACAGTCTTGGGAATAATACAGTGTATGGTCAATTTAGCCAATTCTATTGTCAGCAAAATAAAACCTATCGTTGGTTTGATGTGCAGTAACAGACCCAAGCGTCAGAAACGCGAAGCTCCAAAAGATTAATGTGTGCTATTTATTCGTGACACTCTAAACTCTGTCAGCAGCTTTACTGCACATTCATTCAAAGTCCCATGGTTCACTGCTACCTCCAACACAGAGACACCCACACCACTAAAATAAGCCAAGCTCTGTTTCGAGTGACAGTCCACTTCAAATGCCACCGAGCAGAAAGAAAGGATGTTATCTCACACGCAAAAAGCCAACACAAAGCTGCAAATACTAAAACCAAATGCTACTAATACAGTGATACAGTCTGACGTGACTGTGTTGAAGGCATCAGCCCATGCAAGAAGTACATTGCACACAATCACCTGATCATTCCTGAATTCCAGAGAGATGGTTGCCGTGGAGACACAGTGAAGAGGGAGGACTTTTCAAGGGTGAGCATCTGAGCTTACTCTTGACCGATCAATGTGAAATCTGATCTCTTTCCATTCAAGAGCTCATTGGAAGTGCCTCTCCCATTAAAGACAGAGGGACATTTAGGAAGTGGCAAAATGATCAGGACATGTACCTGCTATAGGTGGGCACACTGTGGCGCTGTCTAAGGGGTTAAGGGCTGAGTACCACCGCTGGTTCAGCAGCTTTTCCTGAGTATCTGGAGCAACGGAATCCGGTGACATGGAGTTGGGCTCAGTCAGTTGCAGGGGCTCCTCTAAGATGATGGGTGACTCAGGCTCTGGGGTCGGTGACGATGCTGCTGCTGCTGGAAAAAAGGGATGACATCACACATGATATCACATCACTACATGACCATCACCATTGCATCCTTGTGAGCACTTGCATTTACCTGCTGGATGAATCAGTTCATACAAATTGGCTTCACGAAAAGAGTAAGCCCCCACTGTTCATGGCACTGAGCCGTAACAGCAAACAACCTCAGTTGATGTCTATAAGTACTAAAATTCAGTCGTAAAGATAAAATCGGAAACGCTATGATCGCAAAACAGTCTAATATAATTTCAATTTCATTTTACATTACTCGAAAAAAAAAGGCTTACAGGTGGTTTGATTATGAAAAAAAAAAATGCCTCTGAAGTACGCATGTACAAGCAGCAAACGCTCTCTGTAAAGGCCATAAACCAGGGGTCCCCAACCTTTTTTGCCCCACGGACCGGTTTAAGTCAGACAATATTTTCAGGGACCGGCATTGAAGGTGTGGCGGATTAATACAACAAAATAATATGGTATGAGCTGCATGAAAACTGTGGTGTTTTCGAAATATAATAATAAACACAAGGAGCGTCTAATCTGGTCGCAACACTCTTATCGCTGTGGTAATGTTTAATGCCTTCAAAATACGATACAACGCAAATTCAAAGTGCATGAAAATGACGTCCCGAGCTTGATTTTCTGCAATCAGACAGTCCCATCTCGGGGTAATGACACCTTAGGTGTGTGGTTTATGTCGAGTCTACTTCGTAATTTTGTTTTAGTCGCCGTTGCTGCAGAAACTCCACACCTCACACAGGTAGGATGCCGGAAATAGCAACAGTGCTATTGTGGCGATCTCAGAGTATTCAGCCATAACTTTGATCCAGTTGTTTCGAACGTACTTTTAAGGCCGCCGTCATTTGCGATCTCCAAGCAGCTTTTTTACTCATTTTGCGGGCTTCAGCCTTTTGTTTATGAGCGTCATCGGTCACCTGACCGAGAAGTGTGCCTTGACGTGAGTCAAGCGTGACACAGACGGATGTAACAGAGAATCCGGTAATTTTTCAAAATAAAACATTTCGCAATCCGAAATTAATAAAACGGAAAAAAGGCAAGTTCTTTCTGTGCGGCCCGGTACCAAATGCCCTGCGGACCGGTACCGGTCCGCGGCCCGGCGGTTGGGGACCCCTGCCATAAACAACCCAGACTAAATTTAGCTAATCCATCCACTGATCATCGTCTCTGATTTGAGATGTAGCACTATACTTCCTTGACCATAAATGTAGTTTCCTCCCATTACTTGAAAGGGGTAGGGCCCAAGCACTGCCAGGAGAAGCGACAATCCATGATTTAATATTTCTTTTCTTTTTTTTTAAAAAGCTACCCATCATATGTTACCAAATGTCAGCAAAAAAAAAAAAAGACTTTTGTCCCTCAACTCACTTCGATACCAATACTTTGACAGCTTTGGGATGAGCACAAAAACAAGCAAAACTCTTCCTGCCAAACATTGGTTACAATTTTCATATGAATTGTTACTGTACAAAACGTCTGATTGTGTGGAATTGATCGTACCAGGAAGTATTGGTGGTTGAGATAAAGTTTGGATAAAACTGCTCTCCTCACTTATGATCACTGCATCGCCTTCCTGAGTCTCAATGTCCGCAGTTTGGGCTGATGGCTGCGTTGTTACGGTCTCATTTTGCCTGCTCCTTCTTGGGCTTGTGGTCCTCACGTCCACTCGGCCCTCTTCCTCATCCGCCCGACTTAGGAAGCCTTGCGGGTCCCAGTCGACGTCGGGCGAGTCCAGCGGCGTCTCCGGGGTGTCCGTACGCACCAGGGAGGTGCGACTTCCCCTCGAGCCACCCCTGCGCCTCTCCCGGTGGGTGCGTGAAGCCCCCACGGCCTCGGGCTCGGCAATGGCGATGTAGGAGAAGGTCAGCTCGAGGGAGTTCTGACGCGGCGTGCCCCAGATTGACGGGGAGGAGGCCAGTGTGTCGTCATCATCGTAGACAACATCTTCATCCTCGGAGCAGTCCCTCGCTGTTTGCAGCTCGTACAGCTCTGACTCTTCATTACCACCTGGAAGAAATAGAGTGATTAGATTATTTTAAAAAAACAAAAGATGATATTCCACTCCAAATGTTGAATATTTTTTGTAGCGGTGTCAAAATCAATTGTAACCCTTGTGCTGCAATTTCTACGATGTTTGTAACACATGGGTTACCCCATATGTTACAATTTCTACAATTTTTGTAGATTTTTGCGTATTGTCATCTTTAAATCAAAGACACAGCATAAAAAGTGTGTGATATGAAATATTCCAATTCATGTTTTATTTATATAGATTTATATTTATGTTTTGGTCATAGCACAATACCGCTTTTATTGTCCATAGAGGGCAAAAATACAAAGAAAAAAATAAGAACTATATGTGTATGTATAGCACTGATGCCACTGAACATGTCGAGTGGTTGAAAGTGAAATAAATATTCAGGAATAATACTTTTACAATTTTTGTAAAATTGTATGTTGCGTTATATAAACTTATTTAGATCGACTGCAGCACATGGGTAATACACATAATCGTTTTGAACCATTGCTTAACTTCAAATTGTCCCAATCCTCTGAAATCAGTGTCTCAGTAATTAGTCTCTGATTTCATGAAAGCAGACTGATTATCTATTGTGTTTAATCAAAATAAGGCATTTGCATGTACTTGTACTTTTGAAAACAATTGAACAAGAAAATATGCATGCATTGTAAGTGTATTATTCAAGTTTTTCAATTCATCGTTCCAGTCAAGCCCACACAGTCTCACACTGCAAATGTGGGCTATTGTGGGTACAATACCTATTCTGTGTGGGAGCTGTAATAAGGGACACAAAATCCATATTGTCATCTGTTTCTACTTCCTGCAGTTGTAATATCCACGTGCCTCAATCTCAATGTTTCTCTTTTGTTCCCACAAAAAACTCCTCAGCAGTGTCTTGTGTTTGATGTCCAAAAACAGAGCTGAAAGCGTCTTTGTGTTGGAAGCATGCAATCACTTGTGGCTCTTCAGTTAAGATATTTTGAAGAGAGGAAGCGGGTTGGCACTCTTACTTTCCCAAAAAAAAAGAAACTCCAATGAGTCATATGTCAGAGTGTCAATGTGTTGCATTCATACCGTCGGTGCACGGGGGTGTCGAATCAGGAGTGGAGGCCACTGAGCCATATTCCTCTGCAAGAAAACAAAGGATAGCATTTTTTTTTCATGGTTCCTCTGAAAACTGGCTGCTGGTTAACAGTCAATGTCACATTAACATGCTATGCTTTTATACTAAAATCTTGCTATGAATCTCAAACCTATTTATTTGCATGCAGGTCACATACAATGGAACCATCAAAGTCATAATAATGTAAGACAAACCTCGAATAAAGGTAAAACGATTTACAGCTGCTGTTTTATATATATATACATATATACATATATATGTATATATATATATATATATACACACACACACACACACACACACTTGCAATTACTTTTTTGGTTGTCATTTTATAAAAATTTGAATGAACTAGTCAGTACTGTCAATCTGCCATTTTCTTCTAAGATATACTATATATATATATATATATGCCTCTCTCCAATAAAATATGTTTTGATACATATCTCAACATATTTTTTTGGGATCAAGTGGAACAACTCATTTTGATAACCTCATATTTTTTGAAATCAAAAGCCCTGTTCTGATTCAAATCTTTTTTTTTACACCCCCCAGCAATTAACCACGGTGACAAAAAATAAATAAAGATTAAGCTATTTAATAGGTTTCCTCTAACCAATGTACGAGAACATGCAAGAAGAACTAAGTGCAAGTAGAACATTGCTCCGTTCAGCCATGTGTTTACCAAAGAGCAGGGATGAAGAAGAGGCTAGATGAAGAGGAGGGCCAACATACGATATCATTGGCGATAGAAAAATGCTGAGCTACGACGATGAAAAGCAGGAAAATGCTCTCGCATCAGTCCAAAAGCTAGCAAAGAAGAGCAGACTTACGGCAGTGGGAGAATCCTAAAACCTGGCCCATACTCCATCAAGGCATCGCTGAGCCTTCCCAGCCTGGAAGACACCCCCCCCACCCTGGCCCCCTTCCACTCTCATGTATTGCCAGGGAATCGTGCGGGAAAACCCTCAGGTCCTTCTCTCTAGGCTGCTTCTGTGGTCCTCTGTGATGTGCGTGAGCAGCTTCCTGCCTCAGACACTTAGCTGCCCCGCCCTGCCTCACACCAGCATCCCCCTCATACACCCTCCTCCTCCTCTTCCTCCTCCTCCACTCTCTGCCTGCTCTCACATCAGCGCCACTCCTGCAGCTAGCAGCAGTGCAGCTACAGTAAGCAGCGAGGCACATGAGAAAATGGTATGGATGTCTGGCCGTCACGGACAAGTCATCTGAGCATCTAATGGGGGGAAGAGAGGAGATGTCAATAATGAATAAGATGAGAGCATGGCGCACGTGGACTCAAAAGACCATGTATAACTGACGCCTATTGAGAGGGGGGGAGGGTAATTCACAAAAAAAAAAAAACATTTAAAAAAAATTATAAAATTCTCTCCTGCAGCTAGCAGCAGTGCAGCTACAGTAAGCAGCGAGGCACATGAGAAAATGGTATGGATGTCTGGCCGTCACGGACAAGTCATCTGAGCATCTAATGGGGGGAAGAGAGGAGATGTCAATAATGAATAAGATGAGAGCATGGCGCACGTGGACTCAAAAGACCATGTATAACTGACGCCTATTGAGAGGGGGGGAGGGTAATTCACAAAAAAAAAAAAACATTTAAAAAAAATTATAAAATTCTGCAGGTACCGAACTGTGATTATGTCAACAGACTCTATACTACCTCAGAGGTGTCCAAACTACGGCCTGGGGAGCATTTGCGGTCTGTTAGCAATTTTTTATTCGTTTCTCTGTGTTGCAGTGATTGTGAATTACCAACCTGGGCCAACAAGTGGTGCTCCAATTGATCGGTCACTGATCGTGATGGGGTGATTTCTGTGAAAAAGTATGTGATTGGCAGATGTCGATCAATGCCTTTCATTGCTGATCACAAACGAACAATCAACCGCAGCTCATACTTTGTAGCCCCCAACCAACTACAGACCCACCTATAGGCAGTTTAGCGTGCCCTCCCCCTTTCCTTCACACTGCACATGCACACAGCAAACCAACCAGATGTGGTGCCGTCTGAAGGTTTTATGTGATTTGAGAGTGTGCAGCTAATACATGTGATATTTAAGGTTGCAGGTAAACTGGAGTCAAAACAATAATTTCATATTCTTATTTACTCAGCAATCATATCAAATGTACAGGTATACAAAAACATAATAAGTGTAAGGTAAAAGTGCCACGAGTGGGTAGGATTGAGAATAGTACATGTGGTCACTCGACACTTATTGTATATAACTGAATGAGATTCAATGCAAGAGTTATTTTCAAAACTGTTCCTTTATACAGATGATACATTTTTTTCATTATATTTTACTATATTGTGTTCCCTTATTAGGCTGCATTAGCAAGGAAAGGTATCATTTACACAATAATTCCAATAAATACATTGTTTCATTAATATTGTAATTGGGCCTTATACTTGTCGAGATTCTTGTCTTGGATTTCATTCAAATGCGTACCTAATGTTGAGTCCAGAGATTACAGATAATGCTGTTATTGGATCAAACAGTCAAGAACGTCAAATGAATCCAGTTTGCCATTCTGGACTGTTGGGTAAAAAGGCAAACAGCCATGCTTAAATTAACTTGTCACACTGCCAGATGCCAACGGTCATTAAAGGTTTACCGGTACTTCTGTTTATAGACGCATAGGAACTAAGAATCAAATGCGTAGTCCAATTGTTGTTTTTCAAAGTGCACTGAGTCACGAACCCGTTTGTTTTAAAAAGGAAGTTAAGAAAATGTTGACCACAAACAAGAAGACAAGGCTCAGAGGGGGAGTGAAGTGAGGTGACCTTCAAATCTTGCTAGCCGTTTCAAGACAGCAAATGCTGCCTTTAAGTACAGAGTGTGAGTCTTCTAAAAATAAAAAAAATTAAAAAGTACATCAAGGGTAATTTTCCCAGAGTAAATCTTTTGAGTTTTGTTCACCACCAATAGCAACCGTTGACTCTTATATACTGGAGATCGACTAACTCAATCTTCATTGTAAAGAATTAGGCTTAATCCTATTAAGTCACACGCAATAAAACAACAACACATGTAAAATGCCTTCATGCACTTTGAGTAAATGACAAAATGGAAACAAAAGTCACGGCTGTGACAGTTCTACATCTCCCTGCGCATTCGATCTAATGACCGCATGTAAACAGGCAAGTCATCTAAGTGATTAACCCGGCAGGGTTCTACAGACGGTGGGAGGGAGGAAGGTGGAAGGGAAGCGGGATAATGACGCTGAAATAAGACAGGCCAATAGAGAAAAAGAGCCAAAGAAGGGAGAGGTAAAGTCCACACAGACGCAAAGCGGTGTGGTCAAATTCACGGAGTGACACAATACAGCCCCTTGGTGAAGGATGCAAGAGCCCGCATGACCTCAGCGTTTTCTATTAAGTGGATCTTTTTGACTTACATTTGGGTTGACCTGCTCATCAGTTGCCCTGGACCTGCTGAGGAAGTCCCGGTGCCGGCGCAGGGTCAACAGCAGGAGGAGGAGACGCCTGGCAGTAAGGTCGAGCAAGAAACTCGAGAAGCGTCTCAGAAGCGTGATGAGAACAGCGCGCAGGGCCAGCAATGTGGAGGTGCCCTCCTTCCTCCGCCAGCTGGTTAAAGAAACAGAGAAGATGGTGACCTTCTTTTTCAAAGGCGGCTCAAGAGAAAAGGGGCCCGAGGAGCAGGAGAACTTCGACGAAGATGACGACATGCCCAGCCCGTACCTGGAGAGGCCCATTCTGGAAAAGCATGTATCCGAGGGGGGGTCTCAATCAGGGGTAAATTACGCGGTGGCGAGCATGCAGGGCTGGAGGGCTCAGATGGAGGACGCGCACACTTGCATGCCTCACATGAGAGGGGAGCTGAGCGAGTGGGCCTACTTCGCCGTGTTTGATGGCCATGCAGGGAACACCGTGGCCCAGTACTGCTCTAGGAACCTGCTGGACCACATCCTTGCCACAGGTACTGGAACATAAAATGAGACAGATTTATTTTGGGCTCTCAAGGATATTAGATGTGTCAATAGCACAACAAGATGTCACAGTGCGGGTATGATGGAGAATTCTCTCTAAAGCACCTTTTTTTAGAAAGGAAAAGTGACAGGAAGTGGATCAATTAATACTACTGTGTGGATAAACATGACAATTTTTAAGTTTGAAAGGCAAATCCGACCTGGAAATATTACATAGAGTGGTGTCTTGAGATACAAGTTGAATTTGGTCCATATCTCAAATCACCTTGACTCCCAAAAAGAAAAACAGGACTATGTAATAATGGAGTTAAAAAAACAACATTGTAGCAAGATATTTCAAGAGAATGTAAAGAATTCAACAGTTTGTGCATCACAATTCATTATTTGTTGCTCCTTCTGGTGTGTGTGACGTGGCCACCAGGGAGCAGTACAATACAGTCATGAAGACAAAAAAGACTTGGCTTAAGTGACTCAGTAAACTACAGTAATTTGCGCCAGTTTTTGCAGAGGACAAAGAATATATGCGTGTGACTGTTGCATCGTCTGTCTACATGTGTTTCAATATCCGTTGCTTTAGTTGCAATAACAACGCGTGAGATGCGATTTGTAAGCCCATGTTCGGCACTGTGAGTTAGCATTCAGCTAGCGGAAGGCAAAGTTGTGTGGTTGTTGTAAATACAAACTTCTGCTCCACACTACAGACCATTTATCAGTAATGTAGTGAAAATGAGTCGGATGAATATTGACTTTGCAAGTCAATTTATAGTGCGTGCCCCAAAATATTTTACTTGCACACCTAACATTTCAGGTTAGGGGCCACTGCACTACGAACAAAGTTAGGCAGGAGTCGTGTTTCAAGTAAACTCCAATTCTCAGACAATTGTTTGACCTTTGTCATTTTGGACGGCCATATAGTAATGTCGAAATAAATACATTTGACACAGGTGGGGTAAAAGCAAGCGAAGACCCAGAGCAGGTGAAGGAGGGCATCCGTGAGGGATTCCTTGAAATTGACCGACACATGCACAAACTGGCCCACGAGGACAACTGGGACCGCAGCGGCACCACAGCGGCGGCCGTCATCATCTCCCCGCATTACGTGTACTTCATCAACTGCGGGGATTCGCGCACTCTCCTCTGTAAGGACGGCCAGCTGGTCTTCTACACCGAGGACCACAAGCCCTTCAACCCCAGGGAGAAGGAGCGTATACAGAACGCCGGCGGCTCTGTCACGCTGCAGCGCATCAACGGCTCGCTGGCCGTATCCAGAGCCTTGGGCGACTTCGATTTCAAGGAAGTGGACTGGAGGCCGCAGACGGAGCAGCTGGTGTCGCCCGAGCCCGAAGTGTATGAAGTGGAGCGGGCGGCCCGGGACGAGTTCATCGTGCTGGCGTGCGATGGCGTTTGGGATGCCATCGGCAATGAGGAACTCTGTGCTTTCGTGCGCAGCCGCCTGCAGGTGTGCGACGACCTGCGAGAGATTTGCACACAAGTCATCGACCTCTGCCTCTATAAGGTGAGACGATATGAAAATATGTTAAGTGGGCCGGGCCAATACGGCCTTGAAATTTGATCTCCGAGTGTGTGTGTGTGTGTGTGTGTGTGTGTGTGTGTGTGTGTGTGTATGAAGTGCATGAACAAACTGTGTTTACAAATCTGAAAAACTGAGTCCATGTCCCTTTCATCAAGTAATAAAATGATTTGGTAAATAAAACAACTACTCTTCGATCCCGATACCGCTTTAATATGCCTTAAAACTATACAAAAATCTGACTTTCATTAGAGAAAATGTTTTCTTGCAATTAATAAAATAAAAATAAAAAAATAAATAAATCAATCAAATACCCAAAAAGGGGAGCAAATCAAGGAAAACTAATGAGATGTTTGGTTTCTACATTTGAAACTGCACTAGAAATTTTTGTTGGCTACTTTTTTTTTAACAGTACTATAATAAACAATAGCAGATTAATTGTACGTAGGTAAATGTTTTGGTTTTATCGTTTAAGCTTATTATAAAATAAAGCCAAATGAACCATGATTAATACAACGTACACTTCATTTATCCACTTCAATAAGAGTTGTTGACTTGCTCAACACTTTCACTTGCAGTCACTACAGCAACTTCACAAAACTCTACCAAACGTCAGTCAGTAAATCATCAATCAGATTACAACAATAATGCAAACACATTTTTGGCTTTATCACTTCAACTTTTCATGCTTCATGAAACAATATTTAAACTAGACACAATATAAGTCAAAAATATATACAAAAAAAAAAATAAAGCTGACTGGCCGACCAAAAAGATTTTTTTTTTTTAAATTGCATTCTACTAGAATACGATGTTGATTTGAATTTGATTAATTTTTCAGTCTTAATTCGCACCTTTTCATGTAGGTAAATGTGGCAACCAAACATCTCTATTAGAAACAGCGCTCAGGGTTTTCACCACTGCACACTACAAGCACAACAATAAAACACACATATATCTTTGTGACAGGACTATGTAAGGCGGATTTTTGTTGTCATACACATATACACACAAAAACATTCCAGGTGTCGCAAAAGTGATGAAAGTAAAGTGCGGTAATAGTGAAAACTTCCATGGTTACTTAACACAGGTACACAGGTGTTTTGATGAATGGAGTGCTTTGCATTGAAGGGAGATGTGGGCATGACAAAGAGGTATTACACTGACGTCGATTTGTAAGTAGATTTGTCCTCCCTCCCGCTCAAGAGCATCAACCTGACGCTATAAATAGGCATGTGCGGTGTTATTGTACGTTGGAAGACAGCACGACACATGGCTGGGATTAGCAGTGAACGTGACGTAGCACTATTGCTCAATATATACCAGCTAAGGGGCATTATCCCACCCTTACATGGCTTTCTATTTATGATACCCGAAAAGCTTAAAGTCTACCAACACTCACTCATGAGCCTTGCTCCTCCTCGGTTGTTTGATGACATCATCGAGGATGTTTATGATGTCACCAACATCAAAGTGCCTCAGAATATCCTGGACAAGCAGTACAAAAAGAGAACTATAATATAAAGTAAATAAATAAATATAAAGTGCCCTCCAGGGCTACTTTGCTTTGGCAATGTCTTCAAAATTATATATTATCTTCATGGCATGTTACTTCAGTACTAATTCATTTTTAATAGACACTCTTTACTTTCTTTCTGAAAAGACTTTGTAGCAGTCATCAAACTTCATGACTTTGTTTTTTGCTTTCTTCCGCCCCCTACAGGGCAGTTTGGATAACATCAGCATCATTATAGTGTGCCTCCCGGGCGCCCCCCAGGTGTCTCAAGAGGCACTGCAACGAGAGGCGGCGCTGGAGCAACACATTGACATGAAAGTAGAAGGTGCTCCTCTAAACCTGTCAAAAACACAACTTTGTTTTTGTTTTGTTTTTTTAAACATATTTTCTAGTTTTCTCTTTCGAATCTATTTTCATTTTCAGAAATCATCAAGATGATGCGGTCCACAGATGAGGATCCTGACCTTTTGGATGTGATCAAGTTCCTGAGGGAGGAGGAAATACCGGGACTTCCTCCAGGGGGCGGCATCACCAGCAAGTAAGCACTGATGAAACACACACAAGGACTCACAATGAGGCTGCAACATTTGGAAAAATGTTGTCCATTTGACATTTGTCACCATGCAGGCGAGATTGCATCATCGCTTCATATCAGAAACACATCGCAGCTCTCAGGACTCAAGAGCCAATGGTAAAATCTAACACAAACACACTATATCGTTTTATCTTTTGTTCTCATTTTTATTGTGGCAAATGACTTGGGATGCATGATACACAGTCAAAATTTCCCTCTTTGAGCCATCTGATAACTAGGACTTTGCTGACTTTGATTTGAAAGGGAGAAAACATGCCCAATAAGGCCTTACTGTCGGCATGCGTTTACATAAATAGGTTCCTTTTTTACAACATACAGAACATGATGCGGCTGTTTTATGACCTTTTAGGATATGGGCGGATCAGAAGAGGACTCCAACTAAAAGCATCAGCATGGAAACACTGTGATCAGCATCCTTCCCAAAGCCCTTCCACATTTCAGAGGAGCTCACTGACTTTTTACGTGACATATGTATTTATTTAAGCCAAGTTGTGGGCAGTTTTGAAAATGTTAAATGATTTAACCCGATCAATATGCATCATGTGCTGGAAAGCTTCTGTATAAGGCGGCTGAACATTTCCAGTGAAGTACAGCACAAGTTCTTCATATGTTTGTTTAAAAAAAATAAAATTAAAAAAAAACTATATCAATTAAATACTACAAATATACTGTAAATGTGTGTGTTTGTAAATGTTATGGAATTTCTAATAATGTGGTTTTATTTACTTAAGTGAAATGTGTAAATATCTGATCAAATAATATTACTATTTAATAGGTATGAATCTAAAGTATTTTAACAAAATAAAAATAAAAGAAAACAATCTCAGTCTGAAATTCCACACTGTTGCATAAACACCACACAATCAAAATAGAGCATTATTATCACTGTAAATGTCGAATTTTGGATAGAGCGCTTGTCATGAAATTGTGTACCTAATGAAGTGGCCCATGTGTGTATATTACTGACACTATATTGTACACACGACAATAAACACTGTGCTCTCTGCACGTGCCGCATGTTATCGTGAAGACATACAGCAGAGAAATGACATGATGCTGTTATGGTTCAAAAGGTGAGCAGGAACCCACGACAGCATAAAAGAATGCACAAGCAAACTTGAAAGAGAGAGAGAGAGAGAGAGAGAGATACACGGAATTAGCACAAATGTTTTATTAAATGACTGACAGGAACATTGAGAGACTGTGTGAGGAGTGACGTTACATGTTTATGTAACAATTTTTCACGGCATACAAAAGACATGTAAGATGAGCTGAGCCCTGCCACGAATAACGAAAAACTAAAATTTGATGCCACCCCAAAAAAGGATTTGTAATTGCTTTAGATTTCTCCAAAAAGGCACATAAAATACTGTGAGGATCATGAAGCACCAACACTATGTATCTTGCATGTACAGGATCATGAACCCACGTTACATACAACACTGTAGGGATGCAAATAATGATGATATAATATTTTTTCATAAATTGGATCCAAATAATAGGATGAAAATGTCCACTCTTTTTAAATCGGTAGCGCACGAACATTAATTATGATTCAGTCACTTGACGAGGCTGAAATTCTGAGCATTTGGAAATGTCAAATTCAAAAGATAGCTAAATGATTTATCAATGATCAAAAATTTGCAATAAGATAATCAATTATGTGTCGATTAATGGTTGAACAGCTACAAGGCTGTATTCAGTCGTTAAATTAATCAGCCATCTTCACACGAGTCTCGTTCAAAGCTAGGACACTAGTCTAAAAAGCATGCTAGCACAAACTGAAAGTGTCACCCGACATGGCTAAAAATGAGCACTTGTATTTTAAACATATGGTAAAGGGTCATCAAACTCCCTCCCTCACATTAAACATTTGCCACTCCAATTTGAAGTTTACTGCAAAACTAAACAAGACAAAGACAATTATATGTTGGCTATTCAATCACGTTTGCCTCAAGAAATGTTGCTAGTTTAATGCTAACACTGTGAAATTCCCATGAATTATCAAGATGGAAAAACTCTTAATCTTTCTTTCCACTTAATTATGTTATTAGATGTCTTTTTAAAGGTAAAATACCAACGAATGCTATTTTTTTAATACAAGAATTTGTATTGGTGTTTTTTTTTTTGTGGCAGAGGAACAAATTAATAGCATTTCCATTCAATTCAATGAGGAAAGAAAACAAAATGTCTCCATTTCAATCACTCTTTTGAATCATAAAAGCTCCATCCAAATACTTCTGTGTCTGACAGACATACAAATGAGAGGTTGAAAGCACACACACGAAGGTCTTTGTCATGTGTCTTCAGAATGTGTTGTAAGGGTGCGTGGTGAGGATCAGCACCTGTGTATTAGGTGACTCAGCAGAACCTTTATTGGACAGAAGTTTCTTCTTATGTCCTCACTCCACAAAAGTCAGGACTTGAGACCTCACACAGACAAAAATTCTACGACAGGACGACCAAAAGAACAGAGAAAAGGTGAGTAGTAATTCAATTTGTTGGGTTAGTTGTAAATTCAGATTAGGAAGAGCATGTGCTTGGGAGGGCAATATTGCAATTCAATATACCAAATTGTTGCTGTTTAGCGTTAAGGTAAATGCATTGCCAAATGTATTAGGAGCCTCCATAAGTTGAATTGTGTCTCATCATAAAACACGTGTCATGAGGGACATGAAATGTTAGTAACGAGGGATCGAACTGGGTAAAGGTTTCCACCAGGAAGTGCGTGCCGGTCCACGAGTATCCCCTCTCACCTGCAGCCCAGCGCCATGCCCCTGAACGTCGGAGACACCGGCTACGGCAGCGTGGCCGACCCGGGCCTCTCGGCCAGCGGGGCCGCCGGCTCCTCGGAGACGGCCGCTCTGCTCGTCCCAGAGTTCGGAGAGGAGGGACAGCAGGAGCAGGAGTGGCGGCCCATGAGCAAGGAGGAGCTGGAGGAGTCGGCGGGCGGGCCCGGCTGGAGGAGAGTCCGCGGCTACCTGGTGGTGCTCTTCTGGCTGGCGTGGCTGGCCATGCTGGCTATCGCCGTGGCCATCATCGTCACCAGCCCGCGGCCCGTGGCGACCCCGCTAACTTGGTGGCAGAAGTCGGTGTTTTTACAGCTGCAGTCTGACCTCTTCACTGGGACGCCATCCGAGAGCTCAGGGGCCGTCGACGGTGAGACAATTAATTTAAGCTAAATGTATCAATATTTAATTTCTATTTTGCTATCTATTCAAGCGAATTACCATCTGCCAGTGTGGGGTACACATTTTGAATGGGCTTCGTCGTTTGAACGAGTGGCAAAATACTCAAAACATTTTCTACCGCGGGAGATTCACATACGCATGCGCAATTGTGCATTACAGCCACTTGAGAGATGGACCGGACGAAGCTCACCGCCAGTCTAAATTAAGCACATATTGTGTATAGAAAATGCTAAATATTGATTTTTTTCTGCACCATTAACTTGTTACCGTCAAGAGTTAAGGCAATGTTTTTTTCCGTCAATATTTTGGCATTTCCACCCTTCCATGCAATACCCCGTACAGTTTACCAACATGGTCGAACGACATTCCTACTCATACGTTCGAACGACATAGCCCAGTCCAAAATGTTTACCTCGTCTCATAAATTAGAACAGTCATATGTGGCCGGTGATTTGAGCGAATGAGATGGCTGATTTACTGCTTCTATGGAAAGCAGAATTATTTTTAGTTTTTTGAGGTTGTTTTACTGCTCCCTAGAGTTACAGATAGGAATGACACACTAATCCAGGTCTTGTGTCACTTAATGTCAAGAACGATACGAGTAAAATAATGCATTTATTAAACACAGTTTAATGTTAATAAGTGTTTTTAAGACATTTAATTTACGAAATGTATTTAACAAAATTATTGCATTGAAAATTAGACTAATTAAAGTGAGGACAGTTTGATTGACACTGTCCTAGTTTCATTAGTTATTTAATGATGTTTATTTTTCTCATATCGTAGCAGTGATGGACACCTGCACAGCATGATGTTGGAAGGTTATGAATTGATAATTTGAATGTATAAATACAGCAGAACGCACCGAAAACGCGCTACAATCTTTACATGTGAACTGAAGTGTTTTGCTCGGTTCATGGATCAAAACCCTGTTAAAAAAATGTACGTGAAGATTTGTTTTGCCCTGCGATTGTCTGGCCACAAGTCCAGGTTGAGCTGGCTTGGGAATAAACCAACTGAAAATGAATCGATACCATGTTGAAACCTGCACTGAATGCAAAGAGTTTCCTGTTGACTTGGGGAAAAAAACATGAGCACCCACTCTCAACCACATTAGATGCAGCAAGGGCCTCCATGCCTTGAGAGCCAATGCAAAATGTTACATGTTTGCTTAAGTAAGGATGCTCAGTAATCAATATAGCTGCAAAAACAAACATGCTGTTTAAGAAAATTAATCCAAATTCAGCATGACTTGATTGTCCAGATAAAAACTTGACAGCTTTATCTTTGAATCTTATTAGCAGGTGTACCTAATGTTTTGGCTGGTTAATGCACAGCACGGATAATTCGATACAGTATACGTACATTCTTTACAGCGCAAACCCAAACCGTAGTTTAAAAGCCTACATTGAAACATCAACCCCAGTTGAAAACGCTTCTTTGAAGCCCTGAACCTCTTTTAAAACGCTACTTTGAAACCCTAAACCCAAGTTTAAAATCCTATTTTTTTCTTCTTCTTTTAATAAAGTCCTGTGTGATCAGCTTCCCTACCTCAAGTCTTCGGGAATCAGTGCTCTCATCCTGAAAGGGTTGTTTGACTCGTCAAACGCAACTGAGAGCGGGGAGCGCTTGGGAACGTTGCCGCAGGTTCAGCGTTTGCTTGGAGAGAGTGAAAATGCAGGTGAGTAAGCCATAGGTTTTAGACTAGGGCTTAACGATTTAGAAAAATAAACTAATTGAGATTTCTTACTCAATTCCACCAAAAAGTGTGTCATTAACATAAATTGGTCAATCACACATCAGATTACAACAAAAATTAAAAACAATCTGGCTTTATCGTGTCAGCTTTTCGTGTTTGAAGATTTGATGCTTGGTGTGCTTATGGCTCGAATCGTAGGCCTCAAAGTGGTACTGGACGTATGCGATGTCCAGCTTTTTGGGGCTCGTGAAGAATTGGAGAGTAAAGAAGCTTGGAACGCCACGCAGGTCTGACATGATCTCATCGAAAAACTCTGGTTTAGCAATGCTGCATTTACTAAAATGTGAATGACATTTCCATAGCGTGCACTTCATTTCTGGTTGGGTCAAGGTGTGGCGGGATTCTTTATGTGTGACACAGATGCATCGTACACAGAAAAGGTAAATACTTTTTAGAGCTTTTAAAAAAAGATATATTTTCAACATTTTATTAAAAAAAAAGATATTGGTATTGCAGTCTCTGATGCTGTGGAAAGGTGTCTTGGAGGAGTTCAGTGAAAAAGATGAAGAAAGGTATTGTCAATTGTTTATTGGTGCATAGATTTTTAGACATGATGGGGTGAAGTTGACATTTCCCTACTGACTGAGCGTAATTATTTCTGTATCTAAATTGGTGCCTTCATTCATTCGCTCCATGACCAGGCTCGTAACTGAAAGCAATCTTATTTTAAATTATGTTAACCTAGCGCTTATCTCACTTCGGTCACTCGTAAATCATGGTAACACTTTGCTACATTGAAATATTTATAAAATAACTTCCCTTGGCAATATTTTGTTTTGTTTTGGGGTTTCTTGCATTTTGTTTTATATACATTCAAACAGATTAGTATGTGTGTGTGTGTGTGTGTGTGTGTGTGTGTGTGCGTGCGTGTGTGTGTGTGTGTGTGTGTGTGTGTGTGTGTGTGTGGGGTTTTTTTTTTTTTTTTGGTCAGGATTGTTGTGGTCAGCCAGACACAAGAGCACCTTCCACCCCTGGTAGTCTCCGGCCAGCAGCTCAACGTCACTTTGGTGGATGTGGTCCTGAGGTCCGTGCTACCCGACTCGCCCCGCCTGCAGTCGGCCCGCCAGGTGGCTGATGCCATCGAGACTCACCTGCAGACGCCTAAAGACACATGGCTCGGCTGGATGGTGAGAACATCAAACGTGTGTGACATGTTAATCAGTTTTGAGTCGGCGCATTATTATGTTGACGCATGCATTATGATATTGACGCTATATTCCCTGAGAACAGTGCTGCTACCTTGTGTCTCCCTATTACTTTTTTTTAAATTTACCGCTAGATTCACCAAAGAAGCACCAAACCTAAAGACTTTCAGTTCAAGGTTGTTGCTGTAGCGCTATAAATTGAGTGTGAAGTTTTTCTCCCTCTCTCTGTCTCCTCTTTTGAGTGACAGAGAGCTGTCGTCGGCATGCCATCTCTTTTGACGGTGTGCTCTGAGATAAAATACATGTCTGGTTTTTGAGATGCAGAAAACATGAATAGTGGTAATAATGCTTTTTGTACGTCTGTCTATGTTGCTTCACCGTTTGTGTTCAAATATCCATCGCTGAAAGGGTTTCAAAACGACAGCACCACTGCTATTCGTCAGCCTGTCTATTGCATTTCTTATTTTGTGTTAGCATTAAGGTAGCTGACTTGAACCACTTTAACTTTTTGATTTCACACTTATAAATACCGCAAATGAAAATGTACATATGGCATCATGGTCTGAACTCGTCTCTTGTTAGGTTGGAGGCAAAGCACCTTATGATTTGAGGAGACTGCTGTTAGTGTTGCTCATGACGCTGCCAGGAACACCTGTTGTACAGTATGACCAATTGTACCCCGCACAGGTTAAGTTTAAGCTCCGCATTTAAAAAGTATTTGTAAAGTACTCAATTAAATTCTAATACAAATTGTTGTGTTCCTCCACAATGCAGGGAGAAAATGGCAGCGAATCCTCAGACTTCACCGTGAGTAATATCTGTATTTTTCACAAAGCTTTTGTGCTGATACTGTTGACTCTTTTATCGTTTTTTTTTTTGGTCTTGGAATGTACAGTATAATTCACTGAGTCCAAAGATTAGTTCAAATGTGGAGGTATAGTATTCGTGTTTTCCGAAAAGGATATGTAACACATATGTACTGTAATATTATGGACAGTTCGAACATCAACGCTTAATAAATAAAAGCATAAATGTACGAAAATAAAAAGCTGTACTTAATAATGATTCAGTTAAAGGTAAAAATAATTTACCAGTCAATACAACTGGACTAACTGTACAGTACTTAACGATTTATGCAGTTTGGACATTTAATTCAGTCTTTCTTTGCATACCACTAGATTAATAATGATTCAGTTAAAGGTAAAAATAATTTACCGGTCAATACAACTGGACTAACTGTACATACAGTACTTAACAATTTATGCAGTTTGGACATTTAATTGTCTTTCTTTGCATACCACTAGAGGGAGCCCTTATACCACACTTTCTTCTTCTTCTTTAGGATAAGTTCAAGTTGAGGCATTCCACTGTGGCCCTGTTCAGCTCACTGAGTCACAACCGAGCTCGAGAAGAAGCTCTCGTCTTTGGAAGCTTCACTTTCCTCCCCTTCAATGCTTCCTCCAATGCCACTCTGTCTTCTCACTCCTCTTCCTCCTCGCCGCCCCTCCTGGCCTTCCTGCGCTCGTGGGGCTGTGTCCACTTCCTGGTCCTACTCAACGTTGGGTCCGAGCCCCTCGGCCTGGATCCCACCTGGGCTCCAAGCCTGCCCGAGGCCGGCGTTTTCGTAGCCAGTACGGCGTTGGACCGCCTGGGCGCGGTCAACCTCGACACGCTGATGCTGCAGCCCTGTGAAGCCGTGGTTGTCAAACTGTTTGAACCTGGAAGCTACTCATAATACACACGTGAATTTAAAAAAAAAAAAGGTTGTCAATGTGATGGGTGCTATTGAGTCTGTAAAATAAAAGGATCACATCTTTAGGCGGCTTGTTTTTCTGTGCTAAAATTGACTTTTCGAATGTTGCAATCAAGTGGTTGGTGTTCTTAGTAGAAGTAGAACCTGCTGGGGCGGTTGCAATTGTTCATACAACCAACCACAAACCTCGATTGTCTGGGTTTTTTTCCTCCACTGAGCCCTATTGACAGTCAAACATTATCATAGATGGCCATAGATAAAAAATGGCTACTTACAGTCGTCCTCAAATACTTCACACAAAGTACCACCTCAATTTCACTTATTTGTATATTTATGTGATTTCCACATTCATCAAAAAGAAGCATAGCACTTTTTGGGAAAAGTCTGTGACTAAATCATCTCATCTGAAAAACGTTATTGAAATGTTGAGCCACAGCAAAAGAGGAATGGATTGGATTTACAAAAGACGTTTCTTTGGGAAGAATACTCATTTTGCAACAGTAGCACCTTTTAGCATTTGTTTTTCACTTAAGTAAACTATCCCTTATAAAGAATACTAAAACAAAACAAAAAATGACCTTGGACTTATTTTGCAGCACTTTAATATGAATTGTGGGGCACGGTGTTCGACTGGTTAGCACATCCGCCTCAAAGTACAGAAGAGCAGAGTTCGATTCCGGTTCTTGTTTGTGGAAAATGTTTCTCAATGGAGTTTGCATGTTCTCCCCGTGCCTGCGTGGGTTCTCTCCAGGTGCTCCGGTTTCCTCCCACATTCCAAAAACATGCGTGACAGTATAATAGAACACCCTAAATTGTCCTTTGGTATCAGTGTGAGCACGAATGGTTGTTTGTCTACATGTAATCTGCGATTGGCTGGCAACCAGTTCAGGGTGTAAGACATGCCGACTGCCGCAAGGCATGTGGCATAGGCTCCAGCACGCCCGCGACCCTCGTGAAGATAAGCAGATCATGGATAAATGGATGGCTTTACAATACATGTAGCAAAAAGGGCATCAATCATCATGAATCAAAAATCTTTTGCCAGTTTGTTGCCTCTTTTCGAGGTACGACATACACAGTCAACAAATAAAACTTTATTTGGACGATAGGTTATTGGGTACTCGTACATAAAACAATTTTTCATTTCATTGTGCTTCCAGATGCACTTCTACACTGGTTCGACATCCATATTTACAAATGTACACATTCACATCAAAATCTGTAGCAATTACACATATAATGTATACTTGCATTGCAATACTTGTTTTGTGTTTTTTGTTTTGGTAACATTTAGAGTTCTACTGAATGTACTGTCCATTACCATTTACAACTCAAATCTTACATTCATTCTCAATACAGGTCGTAACAGGTACTTGGCTGGTGGGGCGTCATGCACGGATGAACCTCAAAAGTGGAAGCGATTGTGCAAACCACACAACACAGGGAAAACAGCAGAGGCATGAATACGCATTTGAAAGCCTCACTCACAACAAACCACAATGTGTAGCTGCAGAAGTTACAGAGGGAGGACTACAGAAACTTTTTCGGTCCACATGCCCATGTAGTGATAAAGACATAATTGCAGACTTTACACCTCAACAGTATACACATTTCACCACTAAAACTCTTTCCCAATCATTCATACAGAAGTATGTACTGTCACATCAATGGTCATGTTGAGACTCAATCAGAATGACACGCGCGCACGCGCACACACACACACACACACACACACACACACACATGCAAAATCGAGTCTATCACGTACTGGGTGACGAGGGTACACCTGAATAGAAGCTGCAATGCATCACGTCCGGAGGTTTGCGCTGGATCACGTGGTCCTCCCGGGGCAAGGGTATGGAGGGGCAGTGAGCCTGGGTCTTGACGCCGGCCCCCCAGCCGAAGCGACAGTTCAGCAACGAACGCAGGTGTCGGAGGACCGACTTGCGGCAGATGATGAACACCCAGGGGTCCGCGATGGGGTTGAAGGCGTAGAAGCGGAAGGCGGTCAGGTTCTCGTGGTCGCCGCAAAAAGGGTGGATGGCGTTGATGAAGCCGGCGATCTGAAAAGACGGGAGTAATAATTGACAGCCAGTTGTTTTTTGGGTTCATCAGTGGGGGGGTTTATAGAGCTGAACAATTTATCGAATTTTATGTGTGTGTGTGTCTTTCATTGATTTATTTGTCCATTTGCCAGATAAGTTCCATGCTTAAGATGTGCAGTCGACATGTTAATATGTTAGTTGAATGGAAAATTAAACAATGAAGTGATTTGTTTGCATTTTTCTTGTATTCTGACTTACTAATTACGCCTCACTTGTTTGGTAGAATTGTGTGAAGTTGGCTTCGTGAATGCTTAAAAGGCGACTGGTCAAAGTGTTTGTTTTGTAAGTTAACCACGCTAACTGAAGTGGATAAACTGAAAAATGTTGACCTCTGTTTTGTACTGCCCTGTACAAGTTTTTGTGGTATACCTAGTACTTAAAGTGCAGGCTGATGGACAAAACCACAAACTTTGGTCAAGCAGAAGCCATGCAGCCAGACAGCTGCAGCTGGAATTTCAAAAGACCACAACAGCTGGCCCGTGAAGAAGTTTCCCACCTCATTCTTCTGCTCCATCAACAAATCCCCATAACCTTTGCAGAAAAAAAATAACTAACCTGCAGTCTTCAATGATAATTTTTTTCCCCTAGTACTGCCGTAAATGTTAGCTGTTGCTAGGGCCTCACTGCACCATGAATTAGTCGATGACAGAGAAGACACAGAGGGAGCGAGTCCAGCCCTGAGTCCACATCTAGACTCACACGGATGTGGTCACCCTTGACGAGCAGGAGGGGGGGATGGGGATGGGTGGAAACAAAACAATGGTAACTCGCTATCGAAGCACTGTGTACACAAGTGGAGAACCCATGGAAGAGAGTTGTCATCTTCTATGTGTCACACAGCAGAAAAAATGGAAGCAAACCAACGCCAATGTGCGGTTAATGTTTTAAGGAAGTTGTTGTGTTGACTTGAGGTCGTGTTGAACTTCTGGAGTTGCCCAAGCAACAGCGATCCGCTGTCACAATAGTGTTGCAAATTGCTGCTTTGGTCCACGAGTATACAGCCAGAGTTGGCCAAGGCACTCAGAGGCTGTATGTTACAAATGGAGTATTTTAACGAATTCTGGCTGGATTCAAAACTTCCACTTTTAACTAATGCTAAGGTTTTTCTTTTTAGTTTAAAATGGCTTACCTGAATTAGAATTCCACATCGCGTTGTGGCCAAAGGGAGAATCCTGGTCAGTTATTGTGCCTTTTGGTGCTACAAATAGTAAACATTCATTGTGGTGGATGCTAAAGAAGGTCATGGTAATGCTAATGGACCACAAGTATTTGCCAACTTTCAAAAGAAAGTAGACAAAGAAAGAGAGGAAGAAGAAAAAGTGGAAGTAGTCATGGCAACTCATGTGTGACATACGCTATGTTTTCATTTACTGAATTAACAAGGATTTACTATTTAGAGCACCAAAAGGCGCAATAACCGACCTGGATTCTACCATTGGCCACAGTGGAGGGGGATTTTGGGTGCCAGACCGGGCTCTAATTTTCATTTCTACAAGCCACACTTCAGAATAAGTCGCCGAACCAGCCAAACCGAATAAAAGTGTGGCTTCTAAAAAATACCGCAACCTTTACTAAAGGCACATTTCACTCATGTTTTTCGATCATTTCAAGCTTTAGCTCAGTCGACGCCATCCGCTACTTCTTGTCAGCATTCACTCTCTTCGGGATGCATTTTGAGAACAATTTACCGTAACAGACTGTGATTTCACTGCGAGAAAACCGTATGATGGCATGGTGACCAGATGTGAAGTCTGTTGCGCCAAAGAGTTCGAAATAAGGAATAGGACGGATTAGTCGTGACACATCAAGTTAAATGTGACAAATCATCGGATTTGTTCACTGTAAACCGCCGTTATACTGTGTGTACAAATATTTGTGGTATTCCAGTGCCTTGAGCTACTGTATGTATTGAAATGTATTTGCATGATTGTGAACATGCGTTGAAAGACCTTCAAAAAAAGTATGGAAAATACTATACAATCATGCATAAAGAGTATTTCAACAAGGTTTTTTCCTATATCATGGATCTCACTTATTACACGGGTGGTCTGGAACGTAATCCACATCGATGACTGTATAGTTGAACGCTTAGCTGCCACAACTGCCAAGAGCAATTTGTTTTCTTAAAAATGCGTGTCATCATCCATCATGAAGTGTTGCCAGAAAGCTCCTCATGAGCTGTGCCACCCTAAACTTTTGTCTCTGCACATTCAAGCCACCCGGCCTCTTATGGTCCTCCAGGCGGTGCAGCGTAGGACACAAATCTCAGCTGCCCAAGGTGTTGGGGTGTCACATGGTCTTTAAACACCGGAAAATGAATGTGTTAGGCCTGAGGCTTAAGTTTACGAGGCAGACATCGTCTGGACAGACATACTGGAGAGCATGCCAATTGGAAAGTACTTTTGTTTGTTTTGTCCACACACGAACGCTCATTTATCATCCTGACATACACCACATCCACAAACTATTACTGCATGTCCGACTGGAATGTTTTACTTATACTCCCTCAATCACGCGGCCAATTTATGCCTGACTTGTTCTGATGGGATAGCATTCCAAAAACATTGGGGCTCTTGCTTTGACATACTGCCTACTGGATGGGTAAAACTAAAAAAAAAAAAAAAAAAGTAAAACAATGAAATAACGATTAAGGAAAATACTGAGTTCAAAAACAGTAAGTCAGCAGAAAGGTTCACTACATCCATCCATTTTCCAATCCGCTTTATCCTCACAAGGGTCGCGGGGGGTGCTGGAGCATATCCCAGCCGTCTTCGAGCAGTAGGCGGGGGAAACCCTGAACCTGTTGCCAGCCAATCGCAGGGCACGCAGAGAGGAACAAACATCCGCGCTCACACTCACACCGAGGGACAATTTGGAGTGTTCAATCAGCCTGCCATGCATGTTTTTGGAATGTGGGAGGAAACCGGAGTACCCGGAGAAAACCCACGCAGGCCCGGGGAGAACATGCAAACTCCACACAGGGAGGCCGGAGCCAGGATCAAACCCACGACCTCTGCACTGGGAGGTCGACACGCAAACCACTGGCCCACCAGGCCGCCTCAGCTTCACTACAACTACACTTAAAAATAAATACCGGTAATAAAAATGTAAAAATATATGAAATTAATACATAAACGGCAAGCTATCTAAGCTAAAGAGAAAAATAGTACTTAAAATGTGTTAAAACTAAAAAGTAAATAAAAAAAAGCTGAGACAATGGCTAAAATGAAGACATTAAATTGTGAATGTGAAAATTAAAAAAATTGAAAGCTCTTGTGAAAATACACAAAGATAAAGTAAAAGAATCATACATTATGAAAAAGCTATCCAAATTATAAGCGTAACTAAAGATAGAAAGGCTAAAGTGGAAATAAGATAAATCACTTCATAAATTACTAAAAGTTGGCCACGAGTGTTGACAAAAACAGTTGAAGCCTATCGAATCAAATCGTAACTCAACTGATTGAAACCAACTCCAATGTATCATATCGTATTATATACCGCGATGCATACCAAATTGTCTTTTATTGGTGCGATGCGCACCCTTAATAAATATGTTCGAAAGAGGAATTTTTTTTTTTAATTCATATTCTAAATGGAAAAAACAACTAGGAATCAATCTGTCGGCTAAAAAAAAAAACATTTGTAATTAAACAGAAAATGGGAGCCAATGTTCTTCCCCTCTCATGCAGGTGATTAGTGTACCTAATGAAGCGCCCTGTGAGTGTATCTTAATGTCATTGTACACAGCAACCGCGCAGTACACTGCGACGCTGTCCAATCTGCAAACACGTTAATCAATCTTTTCGTCTAACTGCTTCTGCCGTGAGTCATCGCAGTCATCGCTTTGATTGTACTCACACCTCAAACAACATCTGTGCACACTTCATGTTCGGCAAGTTTGTTGTGTTCCTGCCCCGTGCGTGTCATGCAAGCTGGTGAGGACGGCCGAAGCTTCCAAGAAATGGAGCACGCTAATGGACATCTGCAACGTTGCAAATTCCGCTGTCTGTCATTTCCCAGGTCTGGCCCTGGAGGGTTCTTCCCTGACTTGTCCGCTTCCTAATTCTGTTTGACTGTCCAATCATTATGCACCACGTGAACACGCACGCACTCGCTCACTCATTACTGGCCTTTTAGTGAGCATCATTTACAACAGTGTGCAGACACGGAGATCCTTTTAGAGGCATACTTCAACTAACACAATGGAATGAGAGCCAATACAGGAGCTGTGTCGCTAATGCTCCTCTGTATCTATCTGTTTATGGGCAAAAGGTTCCACAAAGGTTTGTTCCAAATATCACACGTTGTCGCACATCTTAGGGAGATTTTGTTATGGTCCCATGAAATCGAGGTTGAAGTTCTGAGCAACACACCACAGCGATTGCTCACCAGAAGAACGCCATACCAAGATTAGCACACAAAGCGGTAGCACAAAACCTTCAGGTTTCTGCCTAAAGCTTTAAAAAAATGTGATGAAAAACTTACTAGAAAATCTGAACTTGATTTGGGTTTAATAAGGGCACTTTTAATGGTGGCAGGTGTAATTGAAATTTGAAAGTGACTTTTAATTTTACACCGCCAATTCTATGAGGGTGTGCATACTTACGCAATTTCATTCTCTGAGTTGGTTAATTTAAGATTCTTTATCCCCGGTAATTTTTTTCACAAAAAAACTTGTATTTGACCAATGGTGTGTAGACTTTTTATCGCATCTGTACGCGATTGCTCACCAGAAGAACGCCATACCAAGATTAGAAAACAAAGCGGTAGCACAAAACCTTCAGGTTTCTGCCTAAAGCTTTAAAAAAATGCGATGAAAAGCTTACTAGAACATCTGAACTTGATTTGGGTTTAATAAAGGCACTTTTAATGGTGGCAGGTGTAATTGAAATTTGAAAGTGACTTTTAATTTTACACCGCCAATTCTATGAGGGTGTGCATACTTACGCAATTTC